AAAAAAAAATTAACCTTATATTCTTAATCATATAATCTAGGAACTAGTGAGGAAATCTCTGAAAAAAAAATTATTTTAAAATATAAGATTCAATGTTTTCTGGATATATATGATATTGGTTTAGATTGTAAGAAGTTTCAGGTTCGAACCTGATCGACAGTATCAGCAGTAGATTCATCGTAGTTCTTGGTGATTTCCAGGCAATACAAGATACTTCCATTAGAACCAAGAGAGGAGATCTTGACAGGGTTTCGAGGCGAGAAGAAGGAAGATCTCCAGTTGTTAATGAGGCCTTCATCTACGATGACAAAACCCTCGACATAATCGAATTTCTGGGATGCCGGACGGTCATGCAGGGAGATGAGATATTCTTGATCTCCGGTAAAAGCCATAAAATTGGAGTACAGTACCCTAATCCACCTCACCTACACCAATAATTAGTAACATAACAAGTAGAGGAAAAGACCGCGTTAGAGTCAATAGCAGACGTCAACAACATTGCCAGCTTAGGAACAGCCGTTTGAATGAGTTAACAAAAAGAGATTGCAATTTTGCAATTTGTTATGCACAGATGATACATTTTATGTCTTATCAATGATAGTAAAATGTGTAATAAAATGTGCAGTTCGTACAAAATATATTTCACATCACTTTACAGTATTAAAAAAAAAAAAGGGAAAAGAAAAGAAAAAGAGCCAAGCCCATATGGACCCAAACATTGGAAGAAAAAATGAAATTAAGAAAGAAATATAATCCATACCCTTTGAGGAGCCGGCTCAAGAGCAATTCTTGCTCTGGTGATAATTCCAAATTGCCCTAGACCACCAAGAACCGCATAAAATAGCTCTGAATTTTTCTCTTCTGAACATGTCAAAAGCTCACCTTTTCCTGTCAATTCAATCACAATAATCACTCAACACAAATCCCATATATTTTTAGTGAGTATCGCTACCTTAAAATCTTAATTCTGGGATTAAACTCAGGAAATGTACCTGTAACCACGTCGAGTTCATGGACATTGTTAATCTGGGGACCGTGGTTGAAAGCCTGCCCACTGATACCGGCATTAGACAAGGTACCGCCGACGGAGAGGTACAAGTAATCCGTCCACGACTTGGGTGCAAGCCCATGTTCTAGCGTACTTTTCAGTACGTCTATCCACAGCTCTCCTCCCCACACGTCCACGTACCTTTCTCCCACCACAACCCTTGGTGGCACCGCCCTTGACCCGCTCATCTGCACGACCACCCCTTTTCCCGTCTGCGCCTGCCCGTTTATCGAATGCCCGTGTCCCCGGGCCGAGACCGTGAATCCATGGGCAGACCCATAAGCCGCCTTGACAACCCGGGCCACGTCCTGGGCCGAACTCGGATGAAGAACCGCCAGCGGCTCAATTTTCCCTAACATTCCGAAGTCAAGAGAAGCGACCTCCATATCAGCAGGGTCAACGGTGAGTTGACCGTCGAGTCCAAGGCGGAGAAGCTCCATGGGATCCAGGGTGATTAATCCCACAGTGACAATCAATCTACAAATTGCAAACGTTAATAACAGCTTAGTAGCCATCATTTTTTCGTTGTAAGTTTTTTTGGTTCTCTCTGTGTGGTTAGCGAGAAAAAAAAAAATGAATGAACTTATATAGAGAGGAAGAGAAAGTGAGGGAAAAATTGCGCAGACCGGCAGAGAATGTGAAAAGAAGGAACAAAATCGTGGTGGCAGCGTTCACGTAAGATCAGATTGCACTTTAAAGATTTACTACGTAACATGCACAGATTCCTTTCTTTCTTTTTTTGAATCTTTTCTCTTTTTCCTCAGTATGTGTGTAGGGGAGGGGGGGGAGGTTGTGGAAGAGAATAAGAGAATCGGAGTCTGGTTCTTTATGTGTCTAGGATATGAGATACAGGTTCTAAATTTATAGGACAAAAAGGGGAGGAGCGGGGGGCGGGGAGACACGTAGGCAGTCACGTGAGAGGAGGGAAGGAGACACGTGTGAGGACTGAGAGGGGTGCGGTGAGGGGGGGTGGAGGGACCCCGTGGCCCTTTCGTCTGTAAGACATACCCTTAGGAAGGGGCAATGGTGGGGTCCATTAAGGATACGGGAGGATCAGCGTGGGGGCATGGACGAGGGATGGTTCACGTGGGTGCAGGGTCTGGGGACGATGTTTTCTTATGCAATGCATAACCAAGGTAAGATTCTCTCTTTAATTCCTTCTATTTTTTTCCCCTCCCCCTTTCAATTTTGTCTTTTTCACCACTTTAATTTTGATTCGAAGAAATTCTAGGCTTTAGTCTTTAGATTAGATTAGGATTGTGTATAGTTTACGCATATGAATTAATGACCTAAATGAAACAATTTTTTTGAGATTTGATGATTGATGATAATAATAATAATAATTATTATTTATAATTTAAATATATTTATTTATTTTATTATTTAAATTATTAATTAAT